CAATGAGAGCACCGGCGACCAAAGTTGCCAGAACTTCAAAGACCAATTAAATCCTCAAGGTGACCCATGATTCCTTGGCTCACTGAAAGGATATAGAACTATCAAGCCATGATTAATTCTTGATTATGTAGTACAAAATTATATATATATATATATATATAAACTTTGTAAATCACTAAGTGGTATTTGTTAAAGGTTTAATATGGAGAATGTGTCATTATAACCTAATGTTTACTTATCAAAAGCTTAAGTGAACTTGTCATTTTAACAAAAATCACTTGTCAACTTACTAATGTTTACTTGTCACTTCATTTTCAAAATTTTTTGCTTATTAAGAACTTAAGTCAGCTTGGAAATTTTAGTTATCAATTAACAAAAGGAAATTTATTAACGAGGTACAAAGTATATATATTTTTATATGATCATGAAATGCATTTGTTACAAGTTTAACAAAATTTATCATTTCAGTTAAGTTTATCTGTCAATTCATTAATGTTTATTTGCATGTTGAACATTGTTAACCAGTTCACCTTAGAAATTTGACAACTAAATTTTACTAAAATAACAAGTTCACTTACTATTTTGACATGTACACTTGAGGTTATAAAAGACATTCTGTATCCTAAACTTTGCTAATAAGTTCCCATGAGTAAATTGACAAGTTGATGTTACTAAAATGACAAATTGACTTAAACCCCCTAACAAGTATGCGGTTTGACGACTCAGGTAACAACTAAACACTAGTTAAATGACATGTTTGTTTAAGCATTTGACAAGTGCACTTCATATTATAACAACACATTATGACTAGTCAACCTTATTAACAAGACTCCCTTAGTAAATTGACAAATATATTTTACTAAAATGAAAGTTCACTTAACATTTTAACAAGTACTCTTCATTTTATAGAAGACACCTTATGCATATTGACGGGTAAGTTTCACTAATATGATAAGTTCGCTTAAACTTTTGACAAGTAAACATCAAGTTATAGTGACACACCATGCATATTAAACCTTGTTGCCACTTAGTAATTTAACAAGTAAATGTTAACAAAAACAAGAAGTTGAGTTAAAGTTTTAATAAATAAATGATTGGAAATTCAAAAAAAATTAAGCTGACAATATAATATATATATATATATATATTAAATTTTGTACTATTCATTAAGAAGTAATTTTGGCTTGGTGGCTTCATATAAAAAGTTAAAGACATCATTTTGACTGGCTGCTAGATGGTTATCATATCACCATTGTTAGCAACATGAATAAGTAACCAAAAGTATTAGTTTTTTAAATAACATCTTATTAAAATATTAATAATTTAACATTTGATAATTTAAATATTATTATTTATAAATCTTCACACATAATTTACTAGTCAACTTTTAATATAAACAAATTTATGGTGGAATTACTCCCTCTGTTTAAAAATATAAAATATTTTTAATCTTTTGAGATGTAATTATTAACTTTTTTTTTTTCAAAAGTGATACTATTGAATGAATTACTTTATATTTATTATAAAGCATTTAATAGGGGTGAATATGAAAAGATAAGATTAATTTAAAAGTAGGTAACTACTTTATTAGGAGATAAGATTCGGTTAAAAATACCTTCTATTTTAACAAAGAGAGTATAAATTTTGGAGGACTTATAATTTATCATTCTATTATAATTAACATATCAATTAGTGTGAAAAATATATTCACCTGTAAATTTTATAAAAACTAGTTGAGCAATTAATATTTAAAAGAAAATTTATAGTTTTTATGAATATTTATGAAAAATAATATTTAAATTATTAAATATTAAAATATGTATTAATATTTTAACAAGATTATATTAAAATTATAATTTTTTTAATTACTTACCGAATGTTTTCAGCATTGGTGATCCAATAATCATCCGATAGTTGGTCAAAATGATTGGTTAAAATGATATTTTCATATTTTATATGAGTAAAAAAAATAACATTAGTATGTTGACATTTACTTGTAATTTAAGGGGTTTAGTCAATATTAATTTTCACATAAAGTCCTTCTTTGTAATTTTGTGGACCCTTTTTATATAATTTTTTAGATTATTTGCTATAATTTTTTAGTTAATTAATGATCAAATTAACAAATATTTAATGAAGGGACAACATTACTCTATTTTTAAATATATAAAGAAAATAACATTATGCCACCCTTGAGAATGCTCAGGACACCTTAAAAAAGTCGAGGAACAAATTAATACTTTAACCCTACTTTTTGACTCAAAAGCATAAAATTTTGATATAAAGAAATTCATTCTTACAATCATAATTGAATATACTAGGAGAAGATGTGGAGTCATTAACTTACTTTAACATATTAAGAATTAAAAAAAAGCTAATTCGAACTAAATCATAATTTGGGCTACCGGAATATGCTTGCTTTTCGACTAAAATATTGTAGCTAATGCAGATTTCCAGCCTAAGAAAGTTGTGAAACTTATAGAATTTAATTATTGCATTCAATAGATTCAAGTTAAATTTAATTTAAAATTCAGATTATCTATTTTTAGACTTTTGGACATAGGTAAAATAATAAAATTAATAAAAAATTATATTTTAAGGAATTAAAAAATAATGTTCAATAAAATCTGAAAAAATATATATAAATCCCAAAAATTTTCTGAAAATATGTTTTTTCCCTTTGTTTACAATTATTCACCAAATAGACCCAACTAATAAAAAAGTGCTAAAAATCTAGCACTGAAAAGATAAAAATGTGTAAAATATCTACATGGATTATCAGAAGGGAATCATACAGTTCATTGAATAAGATATTATACAAAGTATTCAATGTTAAAAGTTGATGGTTTACGAAGTACTCATCATTTATTTTATTTTATTTTATTTTTGGTTACCTAAAGTATTCCCGCAACCAACAATTATGAGACTAATTTCTCGACAAATTTAAATGTCATTTAAAAAGTTGTCCTCTCCTAAATAATGTTTTTTCATACACCTCCAAAAATTGAATTCTAAAATAACATTTAAAAGACCCAAACCACTATCATTTGTGTCACATCCACTTGGTTATCATTTTTTTTTTTTTGGGTTATTGCCACATTAACCTAGTTTCGCTTTATTTATTTATTTATTTTTGTTGGTTCATGTGTGATATCAAGCCATTTAAATACACCCCTTTTTCTTATCAAGAAACAGTATATGGAAAAATAAAGTAAAAAGATTACAAACGTTAGACCCCACGCGCTGAAACCAAAAGAATCACACCAAAAAGATAAGCCCAAATTAAACATGCTACCCAGAACCTAAAGGCACTGGGGAAAAACAACAAACAACAGCAAAGAACACGAGCACATAACATGACAACAAGGACTGTAATAGGAAGGTCTGCAGAAATGCGAGTGCTAGTAAAGAGGACCTAGTAAGCATACTATGTAAGTAATGCTTCTAAACCTTCTTTCGTTCGAACCCATCCAAGGTACTGTCGGATTCTGAAACACGGTCATGATTCCTAAGGACGAGAAATTCATCCACTTCTAGCTCTAGGCTCGTTTGGATTCTCCATTTTTGAGATGCTTCCTCAACCCAATAAATGTTATCACAGCCTTATTCTTTTGAGGAACTACGTGGTTATCTCTGCAATTCCAAATGACTCAAGCAAAACGAAAAAAAAAAAAAAAAAGCATTTACTAGCGACAAGGACCCCTATGATCGATATAAATGTACAAAAAAATACATAGTAAATTGTACAAAAAAGTGCTTCAATTTCAAACAACCAAATGCAAATTTCATGTGTCATCATATCCTAATTCTTCCATCTGCCCTCGCTCACCAGCTACATACCATCTCAAATCATCCATTCCATGGAAGGAAAATGGGAATGAATGGCTAATTTGTGATATTGAGTTTGATCATAACAGTAGCGATCCCGATCAAAATGTTAGCAGGCAATAAATGCATAATATGAAAATCCAGGTTAACCCCTCTAATCAAATCGTTTAACCAGTGTTATGACTAGTATAATAAAATGCTTTATTTATGATTAATTTGACCACAATTTTGCCTATTAATCTTTAAATCAGTGCTTTCACCAGTTCAACAATTGATCCAGTTTTCAATACCTTGCTCAAATGTCACTAAATCCAACCGTAACTACTGTCACGCCGAAAAACTGAACCAGAAAGTCCCGAACCTAGCCATGAAAAAACCACGGACACTTTGAAGCACCCCCTGAAACAGAACTAGGCAGACCCCTTACCTATTCCTACAATGTTTCCTAATGTCCAAGATGAATCCCAGCCAGGACATAGCTGAGACAAGGGCAGAATCTCGTATAGATTCAGTCCAGACAAGAAAGAAAGTGCAGCACAGGAAACCACTGAAGATCCCATCCCCATTCCAACAGAGTAACTGGTTTTGATTATTTACAGTGACCAATTGCATTAAGTAAGGGCAAAAAGACTTGTCCTTAACACCCTATTAACAAGCACGTTGCCTATGAGAAAATTAACAGTCTTTGTAGCTACAGCTAATGAACAAATTTCAGGTATTAATGAGTTTTTTTCTGATCCAACATGGAGAAAGGGGGTATATAAGAAGAATTAAATGCTTCTAACAAGAACCAGACCTGGAAATTAACTAGATTGCCTAGTGGTAAAGACAGCGGTAGACAATAAATGCGCATTTACTATAAAACAGAATCCAGATGAGAGTGAGTAGATTATTAACATAAACATATGAATTCATGGCATAGCTTATTAACATGAAGACATTAACTCATTCCTCAAATTTCACTCAATGCAATGGCAAACTAAAATAGATTGATAGCAGTAAAGCTCTCATCATCCTATCAGTCACAAAAATTTTGCTTGACGTGAGAAAAACTGCTTCCAATTAGTTTATCGCTTCAGTATAATGATGATGCATAAAGTTACTAAACTATGCAAAGTTGCACAAAGGGCCTGGAAATCTGGATTAATAGCATTTGATATACGATGCAGTAATAAGTAAGATCAATAGTTTATTCGTACATTGTCATAAAAAATGGTTATTCGTACACTATAGTAGCAAGATTACAGCAACTTTCTTTCGCTTTCCAAAATTGAGATAATAATGAATCAAACCTATAGCATATATCAACGTCAGAGTTTCCAATTTTGTTAATAAATAAAGCACATGATTCTCACAGAATTTAGGACCATGCACTGCAAGGACTAAGCCAGGCTATTCAGTTCCAATGGTGCTTTTGTAGCTGTTTATCAATTGAGTCTGTACATCATGAGAGACTGGCGCATGCTCTTTGTATTCCATCGTGAATTCCCCTTTACCCTGCAAGTAAAGAAAAGCAAAATTAAAATCCAATTCAAAAAAGGTCAGCTATCACCACGATGTGACATAATCTTTCATTTCCAATCCAAAACCTCTGCATTTTAATGATAAATGCAATGCAATGCAGTTAGCAGTCAGTCTGAATCTATCACACAAGACAATAGAAGGTGCATTCAACTAAAAAGAGAAAAATTGTCATGAAATGTGGGCCCTATACATGGTTTGCTAGCATTATTCTCTCTGTGAATGAATGAATAGAAAGGGTCCAAAGATACAATTTAGCAGTTAAGAGAGATAAACTCTGAATGTGGACTGAAGGAACTTCAAGTGTAAGGTTGGATGAAGCTTCTAATGTGAAAAACTCTCAATCCTCTCTCTCTCCCCAACTAAATAATATGCAATATTTCAGAAGTTCCATATGGCCTTGATATTCACCTGTGTCATTGATCGAAGTGATGTGGAGTAGCCGAACATATTGTTAAGAGGAACCTGAAATAATTAGTCATGAAAACGGTCAAATGAATTTAAACTTAAAAGGTACACACTGCGGCAAAAAGTTTCAAAGAACATGCCAGATATTAATCCAAATGAAACTAGTGAAAATGAGAAATATTATGAAGTTTCAATCATTCAACATAACATTGTTCCACCAACACAAGAGCTTTACAAATAGTTTACTATCCATATTTCTTCATTAATATTTTATTGCATCATCCAAACTATAATGAATGAAATAGCAGCACATAAATTGTGAAAAATTAAAACAATCAAACTTGAATTTCTAAAGGGTGCTCTATGTACCTTTAAACTCAAGTAGCAGATCTGCTAGCAAAAACACTACCAAGTGAAGAGTTTGAGACACTCATTAGCAAGCTGAGCGTGGTGAACATATACAGCTCAGCTTGAGGGGGAGCGTTGAATGGTATGTAAATAATGGCTTTAGTTTATTACTTATTTATTCTATTTTTATTAGTATTTTACTCTTTAGTTATCATTGGTTATCCTTACAGACCAAACATCCATGAATAAGTTGATGGGACAGAAGTATTTATCTCTGCCATTTTTCAACAAAATAGTTAAAATATATATTGATGATTAGTATGCAGTAAAGGTAAGTCATTCCTTATCCTTTCGACAGGGACAAAATTCGGAGCACCATTCACTGAAGAGATGTGAACTTAAATCACTATGTCATACTTATATAAACTACATATTACATTTGATGTCTTTATTTTTCTTTTACAAAAAGAGGTACTTACATGAGCAGTAATAACCGAATCATCTCCCTCCTGGTCATTTCCAACAATCACACCTTTTCTCCTATCAGGAGTTATAAAGATCAGTCAGGAAATCCAGACTATTTAGTACTTGCTGTTACAGTTTATAATTTGAGATTGAGATGTCAGTAAAAACCCTCACTTGTTGATGTCACCAGCAACAGCCCCCTGAAATTCTGTTGGTACTTTCAGCTCAACAAGCATAATAGGTTCCAATATAACAGGTCTGGAAGCTGCATAGCACTGTCAAAGAAGATAGAAACACATACTTTCATAGTGATGAAGACCTAACTTGTAAGTGAAGGAAACAACAAATGAAAATCAGAAATATGTGTAACGTTGTTCAAGGACCTGTCTAAAAGCATAGATAGAAGCCAACTTAAATGCAAGTTCACTGGAATCAACAGAATGAGCAGCACCATCTGTCAAGACAACCCGAAGATTTTCAACTGGATGTCCAATTAAAGAGCCCCTGTACAAAAGGCAATTAGGTTCACCAATCCAATAATAATCATTTTCACATGCCAGAGAATCTATAACCTTCTAACTTATTACAAGGCATACACAATCCTATACAACAAATATAAAAAATATATATAACTATGAAAATAAGTAAAAATTCACCCACGAGTTCGCTGCTTCTTTGAAACCCTTCTCAATTGCTGGGATAAAACCTGATGGTATAGCCTGCCCAACAAGCAAGTTTTCAAATTCAAACTTGGTTGGGGATCCTGCGGGAGTGGTTCAATATAGCTGCCAGCGTGCAAAATACAATACAGTATCATTAGAACCCTAGAGAATATGTTTAAGACGATATAACAAACACCACAATTAGAACTTACCAAAAAGCATGGTAAATATAATTCAAACCAAACAGAACTTCTAAGATCAAGCTGGTTGCTCCAAATTAATAAGCCAACAAGCAAACCATTTTAAAAGAAAAACATGCATGCTAATTATTTTATTGCCAGACCTGCCAAGGGTTGGCTGTGCAGTTGTAAGATTATTTGTCAAAAGGTATCAATATCTAATTCAGTGATTAAGAGGTGACCTAATCAGCCGAACCCAATGACATGTACAAAAGATTAAAGCTTATACCTATGCACCTACTAACATTGACTTTACACAGGCAGGCCGGGTCTTATTGTCAAGCTTCTTTCAGTTCTTTTTTGTTTTAAAAGGAAAAAACTCAACCAAGGGAAGCCAAAAAAAAAAAAAAACATGCCAACCAAGCTCCCCAGAATTATTCAAAACAAGTTTTAGGATACCAAAAAACTGAAAGGAAGCTGCATTGATGAGAAAAGAAAGTAGACTTGCTAATCCATGCTTACCCAATTACTCGACCATATTGACCTTGCCCTCCAGATTGCTTTTTATGTAAATAATCAAAGTTGGCACGCTGAGTAACAGTCTCTCTAAAATTAACACGAGGCTTTCCAACAGTAGCATCAACCTTCATGCACAAAGACATCGAAATAAAACTCCAGAAGAAGCAAACTTTGGATATTATCAACAAGAATAACAGGGAAAATTAATCTACAAGTCTTTCTAGTTTTTCTCAATTTTGAACTAAGTCCCTGTAATTTATTTTGCTTTAATCAAGCCCTTATAGTCTGATAAATTAAATATGTTAATCCTTAAAGGGTAAAATCCTTGAATTTTTCCATTTAAAAAATGAAATTAAGAACTTCTACATTTTTATTAAAAGATTATATAACTTTAGAATTAATTACATATTTTTTATAACTCAAAATTTATATAATTAGGTTATGCATTTAAAATAACTTTTATACATATAGACTTCACATAAAAAATTTAACAAAAATGTAAACATTGTATTAAATCAAATTTTCCTTTCTTTTTTAGCCAAAAGCATAAAAAAAATTTAACAAAAATGTAAACATTGTATTAAATCAAATTTTCCTTTCTTTTTTAGCCAAAAGCATAAGATAGAATTTTCTATAAATTTTAAAAGTTTGTCTGTTTTGGAAAAGTTAATCATTAACCTTCAGGGACTACCATAATCAATCAAACCATAAGAACTTAATTAAAAAAAATAAATTACAGATACCTAATTCAAAATCGAGAAAAACTAGAAGAACTTGCAAATTAATTTTGCAAAAAAAATAAAAAGAATAAGTACCTTATACTCTCTCCTAATGCGTTCAACATAGACTTCTAAGTGCAATTCCCCCATTCCTGAAATGATCGTCTATTTACAGAGATATAATAAGGTCATTGTAATAAATAATGAATTTTCCTAGTAAACAAATTGGAGAAAGAAAGGAAGAGCAACCTGCCCACTCTCTGGGTCCAAGCCAACACGGAAAGTAGGGTCCTCTTTCTGGAAGCGATTCAAAGCTTTTGAAAACTATAAGCAATACAAGGAGCTCATCATCTTTCACATCATTGGAGCCAGCGGAAGAGGTGGTTAGTCTGTTACATCATTTAAGAAAGTACTCACTTGTCCTCCAGAATCTTTTGAAATGGGTTGTACAGCCAATGACATCACTGGCTCGGGTACATTCATAGAAGTCATTGTGTATCTGACTGACCCATCAGTAAAAGTATCTCCTGATAACCAAAATCACTAGCATTAAGGCCAATATACAAAACGAAAACAAGAATGAGTTAAAGCAGCTCTAGACATAATAGTAGAGCCTCTGTGAACATTTATTTACGAGTTCTAATTGTCAATAGCCCACCTCTCATTGTGTCCATTAAAATTAAGTTTCAGCGTAAGGCAACATAGGCATGTCCTTTGTCTACATTACAACCCCACTTGAGCATGCGTGCAACAAGACCTATCATATATTATAATTATAATCAAACCAGCCATGACCCTTGGTGACATTTCTCCAGCTTGAGCCAGATTCTTGACAAACACTCCCAGCCAACTAAAAAATTAACTAGAATTTAGGAAACATTCATGCATAGATCCAAAGAAAGGTGTAGAACCTGATGCACAATCAACACCAAATACAGCAACTATTTGTCCAGCATGAGCCTCCTGAATGTCCTGCAGGTTATTGGAAATCCCAATTAAAATTTGACGTAAATAAATAAATAAAAAGCTTCAAAATAAATATAGCAGAGAAACAGAACCCGACAGGTTCACTATTTTTGTTAATAGTATCTAGTATTAATGAACTAGATTTAAGCATCATCGAATCTAATTAGGGGGTAAATGACTATTAAAATAACCCACACTGATCCCTCCAACTTACCCCCTCCAACATGATTTATGTTTTCAGCAGCATTCAAATTATAATATAGATTGAGAATGACATCAAGAATCTAAAGCTCACTTCCATCCCATCTGAATGCATCCAAACCAATTAATGAACCAGATTAGAGCATCCTCAAATTCAAATAGGGGGTAAATGACTAATAAAATAACCCACCCGTATCCCTCCAACTTACCCCCTCAAACACGATTTATGTTTTCAGCAGCATTCAAATTATAATGTAGATTGGAAATGACACCAAAAATCTAAAGCTTACCTCCATCTCATCTGAATGCATCCGAACCAAGCGAGGAACCTGAATTTACAGAATGGCATCAGCTCCACATTCGTGATAGTCCCAAATACAATACCATTTAACTATGAATAAAATGTTTTTCCTCAGAAAGCTTCTTTTTTGTGGACAACCTAATCGATACACTTATTTGTTTCGATAAGACAAAAGGGAACAAGATCAAAATGGAGGTCAAGACGTCAACCCCTATAGGGAAACAAACAGGATGAAAACAACCAGATTTTCTATCAGATTAGACACCTCTGTAGGATATATGGCTACCTAGATGAAAGTTGAAACACCATGCTACTTTCCAAACCCCACAATTCCTCTTTCCCAGGATGGACTTGTAACAACTAAAACTACAAATTTGGACCAAACAATAACATTTAAGGGTATGTGGAATATTTCAGAAAAACAAGAAAAAACTCAGCTTAAGTTATCATTTTCTAGTGAAAGTAAAAGCTACGATTAATTACTGTTAGAAACCTCTATTTCTCTACGGAAATACAGAGTTCAAATCCAGGAAAGAGAAAATCATCTACAGAAAAGAGACATATAAATTCTAGCTCAAAATAGACTAGGCCCACACCCAAATCCTCATTGGAATTCTGGCAACCTTAAAACTAGTTTGGATAAGGGCATTGGATTTAATTGTTTCCCAAACTGTTCTCATTTAAAGACAAAAAATAGAAGCATCTTAAAGTTGTTTTTGTTTTATTTTTCTTGTTTTTAAAATACACTACATTTGATCATTAGAAATTACCGTTAGCTTGATCAATTACTATTATAAGCCACCACTATTTGCCACCAATGACCGTCATTATCAGTTGATTTTATAATGCTAAAACTATTTTTAAATTAACATAATCAAACAAGCTTTTATTTTATTTTGTTTTGAAAAACAATTCTAAAATCATTCAAAAAAATTCTAAAAACAGTTATACAAAACATATTTTAAGAACAAAAAATGATCTCTCGCCCAGTCCCCTTTTTAGTAACCTTCAGGGTTCAGTCTAACAAGATTCTTCAAGAACCCTTCCCTCCAACTTCCACGTACCCTCTTCTAGCTGGACTCTTTCCCTTTAGCAGCACTCAAGCAGGCTATGTCACTGTCTTCACTAGACCCTTTAACCATTCTTCTATCACCCAGCTTTCCTAGTTAGTAACTATGACTTACATATGCAACAAAGAGCATAAACAGTACAAAATGATCAATGAATCATTAGGATTAATTTTAATCCCCTCAAATTAATTAGAATAATAGAGACTGTTGGAATTACCTTAAGCTTCTTGCCAGTATTTATGTTAATAATAAATTCGCCCTTCCGAATGACACCTTCGTAGATTCTTCACCAGCGCAAAAAGGGAAAAGAAAGGGAAAATACACTGTAAGCTAATGTGTCATATTCTCATGTACCGAATGTCACCCCAAGTTTAAAACAAGTCATTGCAAGTGCAAGAGAAAACAGAGCATAAACCACCTCATAAGGTCAGGGGTACCTTAAATATGTTAACTGACCAAATCGCCCTTCCTCCAATTTGAAAGCTAAAGCGACAAGTGGTCCATCAGGACTTCCAGACAACACAACCTGCACAAGGAAAGCATCACAATTACCCAATAATATGGCAAAATTAAATTTAAGCAAAACGAGGACTAACTTCTCATTCTTTAAATACCTTCTCCTCATTCTTTGTCTGGTCAAGGGCATAATTACTAACTTCAACTGGACATGGCAAATAATTAAGAACGCCATCCAGAAGTGGCTGAACCCCCTGTACCAGTAACAAAAGATGATGTCTATATAAGGACATAACAAAGGTGAAAAAAGGGCATTGCAGTGCAACTGATGCATATGCAATAATTCTGGACTGTTCTAGTTTGACCAATAAGTTATATTATGTTTTTCCATCCATGTTTATGTGGTATTGGAGATTCAAAAAAACTATAAAAAAAAAACCCTTAAAAAGACAAAAACTATAGAGGAAGGCTGGTTGAATGGAAAAGGGCATGCGACAGCCAATTTAATTATAAATTAAAAAAAAACAGAGTGGAAGAAGATAGTCTCAAATCATTTTTTTTCAATTTTCTATTTTACTTTTAAATATAATGCATGTTTAAATACAATGAAAAGTTTTAACAGCTTAGTTATACAACAAAACATCATAAAGGTTCTCTTTTTTTTTTTTTCCCGCATCACATTAAATATAAAATAGCTAACGCTTCATAGCAAGACCACTTGACTCAACCAGTGCCTTTGAACTGCTACCTATTAATCCAAATCCAACATCTTTAGTTCAGTCCTCGCCTAAGCCTTGGAGAACTAGACTATATAACGATTTTAAAGAGAAACCAATTGGAGCAATAAACATATATTTTTCCTCAACAGAAGATTCATGCAATTTTAGTCAATATAAGATTGAAACATTTTGCGCAGCAAAGCTCTGAATTTCCATTGATAAGAAACGAATACATATATAGTAGAATAGGAGAGAAAAATTCTAATCAGATCACCTAAAATCTCTCCTATAATCATGAAAATAGAGTCTGAGATGATGATGATGATGATGATAAATGAGAAATCAGAATAGGGAGATAATAACAGAACATATAAAAGGAAAACTACTTAAGGCCTCAGTGGGTTCATTAGGAGGTGGCAGGCCCACTTCCAACAAAATGAGATGTCAATAAAAAAATGAGCATAAGGTAATAATATTCACGATTAAACAGAAATGTAATTGGGACAGAATTAACACTTGACTATTAAAAAATCAAGAACCTAAGATTTAGCTGCTTAGTTCTTGGGATATCTTACTACAAATTTATGAGTCAAAACCTACATTAAGAATCTATTTCTAGTGCTGAATTAAAAACCGGGACATACTGGCCAGCTCAACCTGTAGGACTAGGAACCTATCTTCCGTACAGTCCAGATTAAGGGGAAAATTGGACTATAATAGAACTGGTCAACAGCCAGCTGAACCGGCTGAAACCAGATCAGTTTTTTTAAAAACCAGATTTAAAAAAGATTGCGGGCCCGCAATGATTTTCAAAATTACAGCTTAACCCCTATTGGGCCATGAGCTTCAGTTTTACCAAAACCAATGCTCAGCCACATCTTGAATCTAGCATGCATGCCTCCTTTTTATATTGAAACTACGCCACTCATTGCCTTAAAATTCATGATGTGGAACTCATGCTGGTTTCACTTAGTTTGCACCAATCAGGCATGTCTTCCTCTTGCTTTTATTATTTTTCTCTGATATTTGTTGATTTTTTTTTTCCTTATAAGTTATGTCTTGAAGCTATTTTTTAATGTAAACACGTTTTTTATCTTTGTACCTCATATTATTTATCTGGTTTTTTTTTTTTACAAAGCTTAATTTTTTTAATTTAGCTTAAATACTTATTGCTTTGCAATTTCCTTTATATGACAAGCATGTTTTTGAGCATTAAATAAATTTGGAGTGATTGTAAAGATTTACAATGATCTTTTTAACTAGATCATAGTTTCATTCATGCTTGTCTCATTTTTGTCAATTTATATCTTTCTTAATTTCTGATTGGAAATCATCATTCGTGAAAATTATATTAACCATAAATGTTCATCAACAATTCATCACTAATGCCATATATTTAACATTTTATTAAAATAATATATTAAATTTTTTCTCAATTATTATAATGTATAAATGTATAAATTGAAATATATTAATTTAATAGCAACTAGTTCGACCACAATCCAACTAGTGAACCACTCGTCTGGTTCAATGACCAATCCAATTTTTAAAACCTTGCTTTCAAGTCTTAGAAGCATCAATTACAAAAAGAATGAAAAATGAAGTTTGCATCCAGCACAGTCAAACCAGGAGCTAAAAAAAATTAAAGGCAAAAATAACATATTATCTTATTGTGACACTAGTGACATCATATGGCTGCTTTATATCTCTAAATTAAATTTCTAGAACCAGGCAAAAAATAAAACTGAAAACCACAAGCAAATACATTTTAAATAAATCCAATTTCAAAATCAAAATCCTGGAAAGAACCGAAACAAATTTATATCATACTATTCAATTTAAATTAAAGCATTAGTGACAAATTTGTATCAACCACACAGCAATTAAACACATACATAGATGTGGAACATGTTTTAGTTTACATACTAATAGGAAAGATACACTCTTGAAGTTAAGTTATCTAACAGTTACCTTGTTTTTGAAGGCACTGCCCATGAATACTGGTATAAATTTCCGTGCTACGGTGGCTCTACGAATTGCTTCCTACTCAAAAAAAGGACTAACTTTAGCAATATAAAATAGGAAGAAAGGGCAAACTTCTGGCATATAGAAATATTAGATAAAGCACTTATACAGACAAGGTTCAGAAATTCATTTGAAAAGAGCATGAAAATCTATCTCTGACTTCTACCAAAAGGAAAAGCAACAAGGAAGAAAACTTCAACTGGAATCTAACTTTGAAAGCTCTACATTCCTGTTTGGCCATCCTTTCAATTTCAGCCGATTGTGAAATGTCTTTGAAAATTAAAAGGAACCATCTTCTCAAAATGCACAGTAACAAAAGGTAAGGGCCAAAAACAAAAGAAAAAAGAAATAGCAGTTGTATTTGGCTAAAGCATCCGACAAGTGCATTTAGTATTATCAGCGCATTTAGTTTGGCATCCACACACCTCAAGATCAGTAGATGATATGGGCTCATCATTGAGAAATGCTTCAGCAAGTTTATCATCAACTTCTGACACAACTTCTATAAGCTCACGTCTTTTTTCCGCAGCCATAGTCTCCATATCTGCAGGTACATCCTCCGCAACAACTTTTTCACTGCAATAAGAAAAATCGAAGCATGCCCTAGCATAGTGTCAAAAAGGATAAACAAGAAAAACAGGATAAAATGCAGCATCTTTTAAAACAGACCCATTGGAACCATGAAAATAGTAGGCCTTCAATTGCACAAGATCAATGAGACCCTGGAAATCTTCTTCCAAGCCTATCGGAACTTGCACTGCAGCACTATGATGCCTAAGTTTCGACCTTGCCTGCAAAACAAAGCTGATCAACACGCCATTGTTGTAATTGAAGCAAATGACATCTGTCATTCTAGGATTTATGTCCTTTGCGAAAAATGGACCTGGAGAAAGAGGGGGGGAAATCTGATTGAAATGACATGGTTCTAAAAGATCTAAAGACAGCTACTGATAGCAAAATTTTGGCTTCGTACTATGTATTAAAGCAAAATCTTAATTCAGTTGGGCTCTTATAATTTAAAAAAGAGAAAAGCTTGTGAGACGTTTTTTTATAAACATCAATTTGGCATCAAAACAGATTAAATTTCAGGTTTTCAATTTCAGATTACAAATTAACAAAAAAAAATTATAAAATGTATGATAATGATAATTTGCATTTATTCAACTACACCTGATTCAGAACTTTCCAAGGATCTGCTCCCATCCTATCTAGTTTATTGATAAATGCAAGCCTTGGGACCCCATATCTTCTCATTTGCCGATCAACAGTAATAGACTGACTTTGCACTCCCCCAACACTACATAGGACAAGAATAGCACCATCAAGAACACGCAAAGCCCTCTCAACTTCAATGGTGAAATCAACGTGACCAGGCGTATCAATTATGTTAATCTGCAATGGCACATTATCCAAAAATACAGATATTTATAGTTTCTAAATAAAATTATAATAATTATAGTTTGTGAACAATAAAAATAATAATTGAGAGATCAGAGGAATATATTAGTGGGTAATCGAATTTCAGATGAAAACCCCAAACATTAATCATCAATTTAAAAAATATCAGTGCAGTGCTTAGGTGTTTCAATGAGATTATTTAATATAGTTATGATATGACATAGAATAGATTTTTCTAATGAGTGAGTAATGCGCTGCAAACACTTTTTATTTCGATACCTTACGTTTCTAAATTGAAAAATGTCCTCAATACTATAGCTTTATTGGAGAGCCAGATTGCAAACGCCTAATCAACTTTACCCAAGTCTTGTCCATCTCCATGTTCAATCAATTTCAATGGAAAACGGATTTTTTTTTTTTTGGTTCTTTTTCTTTAAATCGGTTTAAACAGTACGTCTCACCAAAAACAGCGTACTAATAAATCATAAGAACCGGCCTACCAAAAAGAATCATAAGAACCTATTTCCCCTGTGGCAGGCTGTTGCCTGGCAAGTCATCAATCAACCTTCAAGTGCAAGAGATGGTGGCTCAGGTCATACTAATCCGCCTTCAAACCCAAAGGAACCCCACACTCACACAGAGAGTCTATATATGCATGATGATTCAGCAAATGACAGGAAAGGTAACTGAAGACTATTTAAATCCCCGAAGAGGTAAGAGGACAAAGCTTTCTCAACCTCTTAATTGTTTCCTCACTAGCTCACATCAGTTAATCGGTTGTACCTTGTAGTCTTTCCAAGAGCAGTAAGTAGCTGCCGACTGAATAGTAATCCCCTTCTCTCTCTCCAAATCCATAGAATCCATCTTGGCACCCACTCCGTCTTTACCTCTAACCTCGTGAATCTCGTGGATTCGCCCTGTGTAGAACAGAATCCTTTCCGTCAGTGTGGTCTTGCCGGAGTCGATGTGCGCCGAGATCCCAATGTTACGAAGCCTATCCATGGACTCCTTCCACCATGGTTCCTTGTCGTCTTTGGCCCGCGCAAGGTTCCCGGTGGAGAACTGGCGGAGGTGTAAGGTGCCGGCGAGGAGAGAGGCGGCGGGCGACGGTGAAGGAGTCATCTTAGTGGGGGAAACGTAGAGGGTGTAGAGGAGACGATGTGAGGATGACCTCGTGAAGCGTGCCATTGTCGCCGGCGTGCAGGGTTTCCAGTGGGGTTTGGAAGCGGTAAGCTAAAACCCTGAAGCCCTGAAACCCCCCGAGGCAATGGGAGAGGACCCTATCGTGGGAATATACGAAGGAAAATACTGAGGAGTAAAATCTGGTAATTCATTTTGGTCTTATTTGCACACCATGTAGTTTTACGTAGTTGTTCCTAATTCTTCCGGCTTCATCTATTTACATTTTTAGTTTTTATAATTTTAAAAATACGCATAACTACTGATTAAGTATCATGAATTGGTGATAAAGTTAATTTTGCTCATACGTATCTCTTTTTTTTTCACCTAAAGGCATGTATTATTTGATTAAATCTTATTTAAAATATTAAATATGGATGCTTCTCTTAATGAAAATTTGAATTTTAATTTTTCATATTGTGAATAACTAACCTCTTTCATTAGATCAAACCTTCCGTTAGTACTAAAGTATATCTTTTAACTCCTTTGATAACATATACTTAATTTTGTAGTTGTTGCTTACAATTGGTTTAATTAAGTTAAATATTAAAAGAAATTCTCTTTACTTTTATTTTTAATCATACTTGATTAATTTATTCTCATGTCAGCAAAAAAGTTAACAAAGTTACTACAAAATTAACCCTCTTGATGGTAGCTCATTGTCTTTATATGCATTTTTAAAGCTAAAGGGAGTGAAACAATGATATCAAGCTATGAGGACTTGAAACAAAACATAACCAAAGAATAGAGACCTCATGCATAGAATTGTTATTAATGTTATTCGACTTAAAAAATTGGGAAAAAATATTACTCAAGCTACCCCCTGTTGAGTTAAGCTTGAAGGATTTTGAGCTTGTTTGATATGATGGAACTAGGTGGTATCGATATGGAAATGAAATGAAATTGAAAAAAAGTGTGTATTCGGTATGATGGAATTCAAAAATTTACTAATTCCAATTAATTGGCTTCCATGATAAATGCTCAGTTATCAAATTCCATGTTCCCTTCTTCATTTTTTTACCCCTTCCTCTCTCATCTCCTATAAACCTTCCTTGGTCAACATGTAGCATCCCGAAAATTATTCCCTTATTTAATTAAGCTAATGAAGGGTAAACATGTAAATTTAAGTATAAATGAGTTTGAGGATAGTTAGGGATGACTATTAGATTTGGCTTTAGCCATTGGATTGGGTTCGAAAGTAAATTGGGTCATTCAAGTTCAAATTGTAAGAAAAAAAAATTGAATTTTGGCCCAATACATTATGCTGTAGCGTGAAAATTTATGTTGCAGTATAATTCCTAAAATCAATATTTTTAAAAACTTGAAAATAGAGGAAAACACCATAAAACAGAGGGAAGGCGATGGAGAGAGTAGTTGCCCATTAGGGCATCAATTTTTGTGCATTTTAGAGGTGACTCGAGCTTGATTTCACCGAGGTATATCTCCCTTATCTCTTCTTCTCTCTATACATTTTGAAAGTAAGATTTGAGGTTGAGAGATAATGATTTTCATGCCTAGGGCTTTAGGTCCAAATCTATTTGTCTAAGTAGGACTAATGGGAGTTGTTTGAGTTATCTAAACTTAGATATAGTGGTTTTATGCATCAATGAGAGTGGGCTCTCAATTATGAACAAAATTATGCCCTAAAGTGCCATAAATGGTAGTGGTTGAGATAAGTGGCTATTATTGATGTTGATTAAAGATTTTTTAGTGTTAGTTGGAGTTAATAGAAGTTAGGGAACTCATTAGATGTGAGGTTGATATTGTAGTTGAGAAATTTAGTTATTAAAGTATGAAATTAGATGTTAGAAGTGGTAATTTTGATCATGATTAGTGATAGGTGTTAATGTCAATTGTAAACTAACCCCATGAAACACCGGATAGCTTAAGTTTAGCTTGTAAGCAAGTAATAATGAGGGTAAAACTTTTACCTCTCAAAGGTTGGAGGTAATTAAGGGAAATTTGGTTTGTGTATTTATTTGTTAATTAATTATATGATTGAAAAGAATTATTAAAAATCAAATGATAATAAATCTATATTTAATGCAAATTATGACAACGTGAGTAAACATGTGGTTTGTTAAAGTTTGAGTAATGATATGTGTAAGAATAATTTTCTATGTGATTATATAAATGTGGGTATGAAAGTTATTGTAAGAAATTATGAAAGTGAGGGAGAGGATGCCTATTTTATAGGAGAGGTTGTGGATTGAGATACATGTTGAGCATGTTATTATGAAAATGATAATTGTGATTTGCATGCTATTAGCAAATGTGAACATGCATGTTACTTGTTGAGTAATATGCATAGCATGATTATATGAGACGAGAGTTTGCCTATAAGGAGAGGAATAGATATTATAAATCCACATGATATTGGTGATTTATCATTGGAATTAGAAACTAGTCGACTACCAACCATTAGAATCAGGAGGTAGCTTTTATCCCATGATTGTTAAGAGACTGTCCCACTTGTTCGTTAAGAAATTTAAACCTAACTAGTCTCCACCGATTCATGAGGAGGCTAGATTAAGGATACAATACCCCATAGTTGTTAGTATTAAGGGAAACCGTGTCACAAAAGTGAGTGTAGTAACCTTGGCCGAGCAACTCCTCATGAGTGGAAGGTTTAGGATGTTCGAGTTCATGGACATAGCCTATTAAATAGCCTTGGTTTTCATGTCAAAAATATTATAAGGGTATAAGGTTGCTATTAATTATGCATATCATATCTCAGCCACAAAGTTATTATTATTGTGGTTTGGCTGATGTAGAATGAGGAAGGAAAGAGAAGTGATCAATAGAGAGAACATGGAAAAGATAAAACTCAGAGGAGAGGCAAGATAACAATAATTCTTATTCAATTAAATATGCATACAAATCAAATGAGTTGAGGCGCTATTTACATGCCTCAATCCAACCAAAGAAATAAAAGCATGAAAATCCTAAAAATTCTAAAATTAAATAAAAAATTAACAATAAATGAAAATATAATAATAATAAAAGTTGAAAGATAACAATAATTGAAATTAAAACAAAATATGCATAATTAATATAAGAGCAAAATATCTTCAATCTTCTTTAATCTGCAATATCCTTATAATATCTTCACTTATTTCTTTTTAATTTTCTTCCCATCATTTCCCTCTGACTCAAAAGAACTCTCCTCTAAAGAGGTATGAAGTTGGTAAGACTCAAGCAAGGTAAGATCAATCTGGCAAAACTCCTCTTCAGCAATCTAAGTAGTATTTGAGTCCGAGAAGTCTTTCCAACGAACAAGGTAGTGGTGAATAGGACCATTATGGTTAATATAGTTTGTTCATCCATGATCATATCAATCTTATCCCTAATGGGTGAAACATTTGGCAATAAAGGGTTTGGGGCATTGTAAGGCTGTGTACCTATAGAATCATCACTAAACAATAGGGGAGGCTTAAAAGTGCCTTGATAAAAAACAAAATCCTCAACATTAAAAACTAGATTGATAGACATATCAGGAGGTAATTCAAGTAAATAAGTATTGGGGCCAAATTTCTTGAGGATACAAAATGGCCCAAAAGCCCAAGCATGCAACTTTTTAAAAGAATTTTTAGGATAACGCTTAGGGTAGATACGAGCCATAACATAGTCACCTTCATTAAAATTTTGAGCGCGATGGTAAGCATAAGTTGATAATTTATATTAATCATTATTAAGTGTTAATTTGTGCTTAATTTCAGCACGTAACTCATAAAGGTGTTGTGCTAGAGATTCTACAGACTTAGAGGTACAAGCTGTTACAGGACAGGGTACTGAGTCAATAGGCTATTTCGGGTTAAAACCTTAAACTATTTCAAAAGGGGTTTTTCCTGTGGACCGATCGACTAAACTATTATATGCAAACTTAGCTGTAGGTAAGACTAAATCTCAATTCCTTGGCTTATCTCCAACTAGACTTTGAAGTAAGTTACTTAGACTATGATTAGTCATCTCAGTTTTGCCATCAGTTTGAGAATGGAATCAAAAGAGAATTTTAATTGGGTTCCAAAGAGTTTCTGAAGTATTTTTTAAAAATAGTTAACAAATTTGACATCTCTATCAGAGACAATGGAAGTAGGTAACCCATGTAAGCGTACAACTTCTTTAAAGACGAGCTTGGTTAAGTGGGAAACATTAGTGGTCTTATTACAAGGTATGAAGTGGGCTATCATTGAAAACCTATCCATGACAACTAGAACAAAGTCATGTTGTCGAGCAATGTGGGGTAATCCTAAGGCAAAGTCCATGTTAAGATCCTTCCAAGGTGCATCAGGGTAGGTAAAGGAGTGTACTAACTAGTATTTTATTTCCTAGCCTTAAAAGTGTGACAAATACGACATTGTGACAAAATTTGAGCAATATCATATCTAAGAGAAAGCTAATAAAATCTATCCTCAACTAAAGCGATAGTTTTATCTTTACCAAAGTGGCTAGCTAATCCTCCTATATAAAGTTCCCAAATGAGGAAGTCTTTCAAAGATGTTTGAGGAATACACAACTTAGTACCATAAAAGAGGAAATCATCTCTAATAAGGAAAGATGTGTGGTTATGACGAGCTCCATTACCAACTTTTTGATAAAAGACTTTAAAGTCAAGGCATGAGGTATAGTCATCCTTTAACCTCTGAAAACTTACAACATTGATACTCATAGTGTGCAAAAGGTTAACCTTATGACTTAAAGCATCTGCAGCTTTATTCTCAATTCCTGCACGGTGCTTAACAACAAAAATAAACTCTTGAAAGAATTTAACCCATTTGTAATGTTTAGGGTTTAGATGGCGTTAAGAGTTTATGAACTTAAGAGTTTAATGGTTAGAATACACAACAAATTGTTGAGGGAGAAGATAGTATTTCCAATACTCAAAGAATCTAACTATGGCATAAAATTCCTTGTCGTACGTGGAATACTTCTACTTAGCTTTATTAAGCTTTTCACTAAAAAAAGCTATAGGGTGACCATCTTGACTAAGAACACCTCCAATTCCAACTCTAAAAGCATCACAAGCCACTTCAAAGAACTTGGAGAAATTAGAAAGGGCTAGAATGAGGTCTTCAGATAATTTATCTTTAATGTTCATAAAGGCTCGTGATGCAATAGGGGTCAAATAGAATTTATCCTT